CATCTGTTTATGGCAGATTTCCCATCGACAGCATGTGTACGCAGGCGACTGTTAAAAATGTAACTGAAGATACCTACGCTGATGCTTACTTTGATAGTGCTGCCTTATTTGCTGCCTTCTTGGGAAATAGTATGATGATTTTGATAAGAGAGATAATTACTGTCGGTTAGAGTTGACTTTAGGGTACCCATTGTATTATCGTGAAAATGTTGTTTCATTTATTGCCAAGTTGTTGTCTCATTTATGACAACCTGAGTAGTTGAATGCTATGGAAACCCTATTATGACGTAATTGGTTGCGGTGAATTTGAACCATGGGGAAAACTTTGGAAAGTGTGTGTTGGATTTTGGGTAAGGGCTTTTGGGTGATGGATTAGTATGTTGTTTACACAATAAATTGGCTGAATGTGGTAAGATTAATTTGAAGTTTCTGTAGGATTTGGAACGAAAGGGAAAAAAGCATTAATTGACTGGTGTATAAATGAAGGTTTACTTAGTAGCCATTATTAAGTATCCTGTTTGGAGGAAAGAAATGCGTATGGTCGAACATCGGATATTTTCGAATGGAGGATATTTTTTGCTCTTATTTTTGTGAATTTATTTGGTGACACCAGTATACGGATTCTAGTTCAGGTAATTTTGGGAAGCGTTTGGATGCTGTTAAGGAATTGTGTTTGACTGAAGACGCGTAAATTTGTAAATAAGGTAAGTGGATATTTCCTTCGTGTAGTGCTAAGTGAATTCCGGTTGATCTTACATGGTAACTTGGCGATTTTTGGCGAAATTTGGCGACAACTCTCTACGCAACCTCTGTTTTTTTTCCCCGCCGCCATTTTGTCTTCAGAAGTAAAGAAATGTTTTTTTTCTTTTATTATCTGAACACTTCTTCCAACAATCTACTAGCCGAATTAACTTATGCTAGAAATTTATCTAAAAAAACTGTTAAATGACAAATATTAACTGCAAAATTGGAAAAGGCAGAATCGCAAACTCCTAGCTGCGTTTTCAAAATCGCACATAAACAGTAACCATGTACACGTGACTTATTTTTACTTAAAAAAAACCCAGAATACAAAAAAATGGCATTGCGCACACTCTTAACTATATCAGTACACTGCTTTTTCTCATAAATTAGAAAAATTTCACGAAATACATGACAATTTTGACTCTTTAAACCCGGTAAAAGAACATATATGAAATTACCCGATCGCGAAAAGTATACCCTTTCCAATATGAACATTCCACATATAAAATAAATAAAATATCCAAAAACTTTTACATCTAAATCATCTATTATATTATAAACGTCACAAACGAATTCATACCGCAAGCATACAAATACTTAGTGTCAAATATTTAAATTATTTCCATGCAGTTTACTTCAACTAAAACGTATACCAATTCCTACAAACATAAAATTCAAAAATAATATCATTTAATTAAAATATCACTAAACAGTACACGTAGACTATTTTTACTAAAAAAAAATCCCAGAATTGCACAAAAATGGCATTGCGCACACTCTTCACCATATCAATGTATCCTTTTTTTCTCATAAATTAGAAAAATTTCACGAAAATGCATAACAATTTTCTGAATCTTTAAACCATTTAAAAAGAAATATATGAAATACAAACGAAAAAGTATATACCTTTCCAAATATGAACATTTCCAGTATAATAAATAAAAATCAAAAACTTTACTCTTAAATTATTATTATATATAAATCACCACGAATTCATTCGCAACATACAATACTTAGTTCAAATAAAAATTATTTCCATGCACATTACTTCTACTCAAAGAATTCCAAAATACTACAAACATATAACTCTCAAAATCCGATATTAAATTAAAAATAATAAATTAAAAAACATACTTAAAAATAAATAAGCACAACATTAAATATAAAAATTAGCTTACAATCTAATTACTTTAAACTAAATCATTGTAAAACAATTTTCCAATAATACCGTATTATTTATTTACTCTTACATTGAACAATGTAAAAATAATATCCTCAAATAATTAAAAATACTAACTTAACTAATCTTTTCAGAATCTTGATTAGGCCGATAAAATTTCATTCATGTTAGGATCTTTAAAATCATACTTATAGTCAAGCAAGGTACCAAGTAAAATAAATAACTTAATAAAACATCTTTACTTCTCTCTCGCACAACCTTAAAGAAACACTTATTACTACCCCTTCAATCACTAAATACCATTTCGAATTCACTTTAGTAGGGCATGGGATCCAAAAATTAACGAAACACTGTTTCAACAACAAGAATACACCCAAAATACAAAATTTCCAGATTTTTTCCCGATTTTCCCCCTTTTCCGATTAAAGAACCGTAATTCGTCCATTAATATCACATGACATATGCCATGATCTCTCATTTCCCCCACACAAAATAATGCGTAATCGGAACTGAGTACTGCTCACATTATTACCAAAGTGCCAGGTAGTAACCTTTATCGCCTCCAAAATGTCGCCAAACTACCAGTTACCATATTCTAAAGATCAGCCGAATTTCCTTTTTTTGTGTTATTTCATTGTTTGATTTAAAATGTAGTTTGTTTAGATTACATATTTTTTTTGTTGGCTGCTCCTTTGACTCTTTAAGTGAATATAGTTCGATGCATACACGGACAAAATCAAGGGAGTGCGCAAAGCCTAGCTTGTGAAAATCTCTGATTTTTTTTAAGTGAAAATAGGTTGATGTGTACATGGATAAAGTCCAGAGAGTGCGCAATGCAATTTTTGTGCAATTCTGAGATTTTTTTTAAAGTGAAAATAGGTCGATGTGTACATGGATACCGTGGGTGTGCAATCCTTTTTGTTGTTATTTTGGCTTTGTGTAGTGCCAATTTTTGCCCCAAAAATCTCCGCTACACAAGCCAAAATAACAAGTCAAAGAATTGGTCAAACTCGGTATCCATGTACCGGCCAAAAATCACCAAGTTTCGCCAAGGGGCACTCTTAAATATACTTTTACCTTACTGTCTTGTTTGCATTTGATAAAATTAAAACTAACCTTAGGTGCAGCATCATAATATTGGTCGGACAAAAATATGGAAACACCTCGTAAAATGCATGTTAGAATTGAAATGTGTATTCTTGTAAAAGCTGTTGGTGGCACTGATGTGTTTGCTCACTAACGCCATTTATACAACATCCTCAATATATTGCAAGTGTCATTCATTACCGAGACCATGTTCTGTGCAGTTGTGAGTGCACCATGTGAGAGTTAAATGAATTCTAATGTTGTCAAATTGTTGGAGCTTGTATGGTTTGTGCTTTCATAACCAAGGTAGCTGAAGCGTTTGGTTTTTCAAAAGGTATAATATAAAAGATTTTTAAGTCATACAAGAAAACAGAAAAAACTGCATCCATTAAATCATAGCATGAGCGAAAATGTGTGTTGAGTGATCATGACAAACAATCATTGAAGAGGATTATGACAAAAAGTAAGAGGACTACAGCTTGAAAAGTGACTGCTGAACTGAATATTGCATTCACAAATCCTGCAGCATCAAAACAGTGTGAAGGGAGCTCCACAAGCAGGGCATTTTTTGGCAAGCCACAATTTAAAAGCCACTTACGAGGGATCAAAATGCCTGTAAGAGGAGAAAGTGGTGCCAAAGTCATAAAACCTGGACTGTAGAGCAATGGAGGACTGACATTTGCATCCCAATTATATAATATAGACTGCTTATTGCCGAGAGTTAAACATGGCGGGGTTTGGTCATGGTTTGGCAGCCTATCGTGAGATTCCATGCGACCCATAATTTCTGTGCAAGGTCACATTACTGCCAAGGATTATGGGACCATTCTGGCTGATCATGCCCATCTCATGGTACAAATTTTGTTCCCCCAATGGCGATGCCATATTCCAAGACGACAGAGTTCCTGTTCACTAAGCTCACACATCGTTTAAGACTGGTTTTTTTTAGCATGAGGGTGAACTTTCATATCTACCATGACCACCACAGTCAGCAGATATCAATATTATTGAACCTTTGTGGGCTATTTTGGAGAGACATGTGCGTGAGTGTTATCCACCGCCGTTCATTGTTAACTGAACTTGCCAACATATTACAGGAAGAATGGTAAAAAATTCCATTGCAAAGTATACAAGACCTCTGTTTATCCATTCTGAGAAGCTTTTTGAATGCCAGCAGTTTTCGTATACTGTATTAATCACATCAGTATGTTTTTAATTTGGTGTTTCCATATTTTTGTCCAGCCTCTGTATTTTTATAGATTCTTAGGCTGCAATTACTAGCCCCGATTTTAATGCTAATACTTTGATCTATTTTTGTAACATGACATTAAATCCTCTCAAGATATATGAACAAAATATTATTGTAGATTTTGAACCCCTGTAACATCTGTTAAAATAAATCTGGCTAAATCCACCCTTACCACTATCATACATCAAGTAGATTATTTTCTCTAAAATCAAAGAAAATAGGTAATCAGTGCATAAGGATTCAACTACATTTAAGACCTGATACATATGGACAAAAATAGATGTATCCCAGTTCTTTTCCTAGGGATTGTTTTTTAGATTAATGACTGGGTGTGACTATTTGTAATGACATTTAAGTCATTCAGGAGTGAAAGAAATTTCTATTTGTTCCTCATATCAGCAGGAGAATATGGTCAAATCCTCCTTGAGGATTTCTTTAAAGCTTTTAATACCATTTTGTTTATAACTCCTCAGAAACTAATGTTGATATCAGTCACTTATTTTATTCTTTTGACATTCTGTTGGGTAGCTTGTTGATAACAGCAAAAATATGAGTGACATGCATACAGAAAAAGCTTTCTTCAGGAATATCATACTTAGAATGAAAATGGGTAAAACAAAATTAAACTCTTTTCCATTATAGATTTAAAAACATGATTTTGCAACTAAATGTTGCAGTTTTATAATTTTTCAATAAAATTCAATTTAGTATACAATTGTATAATTTTTCTTACATTTACAGAACATCAGCATGTGAGATATAGTCCATTAAGTGATAAATGGATTATTGTTTCACCTTTGAGAGCTAGAAGGCCATGGAAAGGGCAGTTAGAAAAAGTACCAGAGAAAGAGGTTCCACCTCATGATTTGAATAACCCGCTTTGTCCTGGAGCTACAAGAGCTCATGGAGAAGTAATTTGTTTATATATATTTTATCAAGTGGTACAAAAAAGTGTATGATATACAGTACCTGCTGGTTATTAAAATCACTTCTGTTCCAAATGTATGAGTTTATTAAGCAGCTGAGTTTAATGAACAGTGGTTTCTGTACTGTTAATCGGGATATCACTTTAAAACTTTTCGAATAAGATAATAATTAACTATGAATTCAGTAACTAATCCTAAAATAATAAGTTAAAATTAATGCTAAAATTAAACTATTAATGCAAATTTGAAATTAAATTAAAAAATAAAATTAATGCTAAAATTAAACTATTAATGCAAATTTGAAATTAAATTAAAAAAATGTTTTACAAAAATATAGTTGTATTTTTGATGAAATTTTATCTTTTATAAACAACTATTCTGTCTGTTTTTGTTTCATATTATTCAGCAATAGTTTTTCAGTTGTATTATCTATTTCATAAAACTGATAGTAAGCTTTTTTGATTAATTCTTAGAATTTGCAGTGCTTTTCTACATTCAATTTTTGTTGGTATATCATCACTTTTTCTTGTATCATTTTCGTGTTAGTTTCTGCAGTTCTTTTCACACTTTTATAATCAATTTTTATTCATGTTGTCTCAATATTGTTGTTTCATTTTTAAAATGTGTTTCATTTTTAAAATGTGAACTGATGTTCATTTTAAAAATGAATATTCATAACTTCCCACATTGATGTCTGAAACAATATCTGTAGTTTGAAATTCCTCTGACTTCACCTGAATAAATGTACGAAAGCACATAAATTTTCAAAAATAGTTTTTAATTGATTTTATGTAAACCAGTTATAATATGCATGTCTTCTAGCAGAGATATCGACTGAATTTTCTCCTTTGAAGTGCTTGCATTTTCTCGAAATTCAGTTCTGTTTATCATTTTCTGAATATCTTTTCTGTAATGACATTTGAAAACTTTTTTTGGTATAATAGTTGAGTGTTAGAAGTTGCATTTGCATGAGAAACTATTTTCTTTTTCCATGGCACAGTTATCTAACTAGTTAAGCCATTTTTTTTTCATTTTTCCACTAGCTATCCCATTTCAAAACAAAATCAGTAAAAATACTATTTGTCATCCATGAGTTCTGGTTGCTATGGTAAGTTCTTGACTTCTTTCAAACATTTATTTATTTATTTATTTTTTGCTTTTGTCAATAATCATTGTGGTTTTCTTAATTTTTGGGTCCACACTGCATATTATTCACACAGTAACTCATTCCTTCAGTTTCTTAAACCGGCTTTTCACTTTTAAATAATGTGTGCTCTGGTAATGTTATTTAGCACAATCCAGCTTTGTCTGTATTAAAAAATTCTTGTGACGTGTAATCATTTAGCAGCCCAAGTGAACAAATTTTTCTCCAATCATTAGTTGCATGTTGATCAGCTTCTTCCTTCTCTCTCTCATTTACAGTTATAATCTCTCTCGATCTAATCTATCTCTAGGATTATTTTTATTGACTTCAAAATTCTGCCTCTTAAATCCAATGAGGATAAAGAACTCTGGAAGTAGTGTCTTGCAAGGACTGGGGAAGGAAAACTTTGCCCAAATCCATTTTGTTGAAGCACTACATATCTGAAGATAAAGCCACAGTACCTGAAATGGAAGAACTTTGAAAAGCTTTAAGAAATGCGACCAAGATATTCTGACACTGAAAAATCAGTTTTTCCCCGAGTTTTATAAGCAGCAGAGATGATAATAAATAGCGATTTCTTTATTGATTAGTACATATTTGCTTTGGTTCCTTTTGAATGTAGCAGCTAATTAAGCAGCTAATTTTATTAATCGAGTTTAATAAGCAGTGGGAACTGTAGCTATATTGTATATGTACATTACATTTCCATATAAAATAGGATTTTTAAGAAAATGTTTTGTAAAATTTTGACTTATTAACTCTAATACACTGTATGAAATATTTTTTTTCAAAATGAACGCAACAAAGTCTCATGAATAAAATCACTGTGTAAAATTTTATAATTAATTCCCATAACACATAATTAAGGAGTTGACTATATCACTGCCAGACAAAGATATTTTTGCTGCTAACCCTGGAAATAGATACTTGTATCATTTAATATGATCTTAGAACTAAAACACTTTTTTAAAATTAACTCTGTATAAAGGTGTATTAAGCCTATACTTAAGGCAGCCACCTTTTAATGTGGCACTGAACTACACAAGAAGCTTCTTGGGGTGACAGAAGTGATAGAATGCCAAATAAAGGAAAATATTATTTTGTTATTTGTCAAAGATGCCTTCTGCTAGAATTCTAAAATATATTTTCATCCATCATTGATTTACCTTTCTGGAATGGTGCCCATCCTGAATAGGTGTCTTTGTGTGGAGCACAGCTTTCAACCTTCAAGAATAGCCCCATTTGCAAATGTTAGCAATATGAGAAGCAAACAACCAGTTATGCTGTAAATCAAGGTACAGATCATGCAAAATTTCATGGAACTCCTAATGCTGCTGAAAGCAGTACATGTGTCATATCTAAAATTAAGACCTTCTTGTAGACAGCAAAAGTGTCTAACTCATCATTAAATAGCTACTTTGTTATTACAACCTGATCTAGCTTTCCTGTTTTTAATTGTCTAACATATGTAATTTTGTACATGGATTTGTAATATTTATCAAATAATAAGATTGAAGCTATAAATTTTCTTCAGAATTATGGAATATTGTTGAAAAATCAAGACTGTTCCAGTTTCCATGTGAAAATTCCATACAGTGATGTTTAAAATGCACCATTTAAAATATCTGAACCAGCTTAAGTAGATATTTTGTATAATTTGACTACATTACTTGAAATTGAATTTCAGCTTATATTATTTTAAATATCTGTAAGAAGTGGAGTTTTGTTTATACACACAATTGGGGCCTTCTTTTTAAAGATTTAATGAAAAGGTTATTTTAACCTTTGTAAGACTTGGTCATTTTAATTCAGACATGAGTACTAACTTGCTTGTCAATCTAGTAGTGTCGGAAGGACATTTAAGTTTCTACACTAGTAAAACCTTACAATTTAACATGTAAAAAGTAATACAGTATTTTCTTAGCATTACTCTTTGATTCCTAGTTATTTCTAAAATTTCTCTATTAGTTTGTTTAGGTCAGTTTTAAAATAAAATTTCTAAAATAAACTTGATGTAAATGTTACTACTTCTTCTTATTTCTTGTGATTCAATTCATTTTTAATTTTGGCTCTACTCTTATAAGTGCCCTGAGACCACCAAATGTGGCTATATGTGTTCTGCGCTGGTTTCTGGCACGATTGCATGTTGTATGGTAACCCATTTGATGTTACTCCTTTGGTGGATTGGTTTAATTGCTTGTTGGTTCATGTCATGCGTGTTTTGAAATGGCCTATGTTGCAATAAAAGATGTGGTTGCAAGAGGGTCTGGGAGATTATTTTTAGTGGCTGTGCATGATAGAAGTAACGAAACGATGATGCAGTATATTAAAGAGTGGATTGAGCCTCGTACAACTATTTTTTCGGATGGCTGGAAATCTTACAACAAGGATTTAGGAAAAGAAGGTTTTTAACATTTATTTGTGAACCATAGTATGAATTTTCGGATAGGTGTCTGGCGTCATATAAATACGATAGTGATACGTGGAATTAAAGGGGATGAAATTGGGATTTTATTCAAAAAAGCAATCATTCATCGTAAGTGCATTTTATTTTATTCTTGTTCTTATTTTGTAGAAGGTCATTGTTTTTTAGTATGAATTTCTGTCGTTATTGTTGTTTTTTTGATTGTTTGAAATTTATTAGTTTTTGTTGATTAGGCATAGTGCTAGATTGTGCAATTGTAGATGTTTTTGAAGTTGAAACATAACGCTGTGTACATGGTATTCTTTGAAATTTATTGTTATGTTAATTTATTAAAGTGAGGTGTGCGTAGTTCGTAGATTCTTTCGCTGCTGAGATCGTGCAATTCGTAGATGTTTTTTAAAGTTGAACAGACAGAAGGTTGTACATGGTATTTTTTGAAATTTATTGTTATGTTAATTTATTAAAGCGAGGTGTGCTTAGTTTGTAGATTCTTTCGCTGCCTAGATTGTGCAATTCGTAAATGTTCTTTTAAGTTAAAACATATCGCTGTGTAAATAGATTCTTGTCAAATATTTTTGGTTAGAAACTTTACGTTTTTGCTAACTAAATTTTTTGTTTTTGTTTCAGATTTTTAGCTTAAATCGCATTTTTGGAGACATTTTAAGAGGCTTAAAGTTTGAAATGTGAACAAAAAATTTAGATAGTGTACAAAGTCCGTAATTCAGAGTCGTTGGTACTTCGGCGATTCCGGATTAGGGGTTTTTCTGGATTAAGTCTCAGTTTTTAAATCTGGTAAGATGGCATGCAGAATTTACAATTAAAAATTTGTGAAACTGTAATTTATGAAATAAAGAGCAATTATGATCTAAAGGTATCAAAATTTAAAAAAAAAAAAAAAAGCTTAATATTTATTTGGTTTATTTATTAAACATTTCTTTCAATGTAAGTTGTTTAAGTTGCTTTGTTTTTGTGCTATACTTTCTTTAATTCTATAAACAGACATAATTTCTTGTTCAGTTACAAAGTTCCACCTATCGGAAAGCGGTTTTTTTCTGGATTTAGAACCATGCTACAGATTTCGCTGTTTGTTGATTGATGATTGGGGCATTGTCGTCGCAATGAAAAACTTCTGTTATATCATCTCCATTTATTACCGCTTCTCCACATTTCTTTACAAAATCCAATAACTGGAAATTTACCATTAGTTGTCCAAAACCTTCAAATTAGCTGTTATCATCAAATCATCTTCATCGTCCTCACAATGAAATATGGCAGCTGGCCATAAATTATGCCAAGCATTTTTTAACGTATCAAGACACATCCTCCCAATGCACATGTGCATGCTTAAATGTGTATTCATAAACGCTTTACGCATGCGCGTAATGCGTAAAGCATACCAAAAAAAAGTTTGTGGCTTCGAGGTCCAGATTATAGATCATTCTGGATAATCGACCGCCGGATTACGGACTTTGTACTGTATTAATATGGCACCATGGAGTTTCTCGCCAAAAATATTTGGCAAGAAATTTGGCGACTTGAGGGCGCATATAAGAGTTGTTCCTTAATTTTGTATTTTTACAATTTTTTTTTTTTTTTTTTACTTGTAGGTTAATCCATGGTATAGGAGTACATTTGTTTTCCCAAATGATTTTCCAGCTTTAGTGGAGGATCTGCCAGAATCAGGTAAGATTTTTTTTTTTTTTTTTTTTTTTTTTAAATGAAACATTTATTAAAGCCAGTGTTTATCAGATCTTTGACAAATATCCAATCTATACAATATTAATTCAAAATTATCGTGAGTTTTTTATAACATACAGTCTAAAGTGAAATTTACAGTGAAATTGATATTCTGAATAGTTTATCAGAACATTTTTAATGAATTAAAAATGTTAGGGAATAGTTTTTGATTATTTATATCACTATTAATATAACACTTAGTTTAAAGAAAAATTATAAAACTTACATTTTTTACAAATTCAAGGGCAAAAACTAAAATTTAAATTTATTAACCCTGTATTTAGGATATAATGTAAAAATTTTAGTAGAATCCTTGTTTGAAAAAAAAAAAAAAAAAAAAACTTTCCTGATTATGTTGTAGGTTTTCCCTTAGTTCACTAACCAGTTATTTTAATTTTGGTATCTTTTCTGAATTCTTTATTTCCCCTCGCATTTCCTGGCCAGGCTGCAAATTAAGTAGGTGAAAGAGAATATTTAAATGGATGAAACAAAAAGATTAGACAGAGTGTGATTTCGGTAGTGTAGCACGTTTGTTAATTTGTCCTTCAGCTGTTAATCTATGCGGTTAATCTTTTAATCTATGGTAGTGGCTATGCATTCTGACCGTTTAGTTAGTCTGTCACTGGTGTACGTTGCTGAGTCAGCCTAGTATGGTAAATTAAATTGTGAAGTCTAACACTACTTCTTACCTTTTGAATTTATTGTTAAATTTACCTTTTAAGTTCTCACTGCAAGTAGTCCGTGTTTTTGTGAGTACGAAGCTTGTGCCTTTCTATTAAAGAGTTATGATAAATACGTGTTGTATTACTTTCACGTTTGTGCAAGAAGTTGCCAGGTTAAACTTTGAGATCTAGGCATTTTGCATGATAGCCAAAAAGACAAGATCTGATAATGTTTTAAATACGAGGGTTGGAACTTTAATAGTGGCAACACAGCTGAAAAAACGCTATGCAACAAAACCAAAGAATATCGCGTTATACCAACGAAAACATACCTACCTTACCTCTCAGCAAAAAGACTCGTCCGGCCTACGTCACGCGCATGCGGAGGACGCGAGAACAGATCCTTGTATTAGCTCGCGGTCTAAAATAAGTGTTGTCAGGATGTTTTCAAAACAAAACAATGATTTGGATAAAAATTAAATGTGCCAGAAGTCTACAGCACGACAGTGTCATCATGGGCTTCAAGAGGCTTGCGGGAATCTGCATTGCCTTACAGAACCGTAGCAAGATGGGTTGAAAGCATTCAATGAAGGACGCCAAAAACATGGCAGACTGCTGCGGCCGGGTCATCCGAGTGTCAGCGATGCAGAGTGCAAGCTGTTCCGCATAATGGACATGATAGCCACCAAACGATTCGTCAGTGGCGGACAAACAGGATTAGCGCATACGACTGTGCTGCACTTTTGAAGGAACGCCTGTCCATGAGAAAAATTGCTTCACAATGGGTTCCACATCATTGACGGAAGCAGAATGGCTACGATACGATCTGCCCGAACCCACCTGGAGTGCATGAGCGCGAAAGAGATGCTTTTTTTACCAACAGTTCATTACGCGGATGATGCCGTATCGTTATGCTGGATGGACTTGGGCCCGATCGTAAACAGCCAGAACTGAAACGCCCAATCAAACGAATGGCGTCATCACGTGTCACCACGACGTTCGAAATTCGTCAGAACCCCAGCAATGTGAAAGTTATGGTGATTCTCGTGTACGAATGTGATGGTCATCCTAACGCATACCGTTTCCCCACAGCAACGGTCACTGCGCATATTACTGCTCATTTGGAGCACAACTCTGCCAGCTTTGAGAAAAAAACGGCAAACACTTTCTGCAGAACACTCCCTCATTTTGCATGACAGTGCTCCGCTGCAGCAAGCTGTGACTGATTTGTTCAAGCAGTGGGGCTGGGAAGTGCTTTTACCATCCACATACTCCCGATCTAAGCCCTTGTGACTATGACTTAATTCCTAAGATGAGGAACCACTTTGTTGCACTCGCTTCCAAACTGTTCCTGAGATTCTTGCGGCAGTAGACCGGTCCATTCAAACTATCAACAAAACAGGCGCTGCTACAGGTATCTGCGACTTCCACATTGTGGAACGGTTGTACACAAATGTTGGCGACTATATTGAGGACTGTAAATCATGGTGACATGAATCACGTTTGTATTCCTTGTAAATAAATAGTTGCCACTATTAAAGTTCCAACCCTCGTATTATGCAATATTTATGACCTTTAGCATTGATTTGAAAAGCCAGTGCTATTATTAAATTATATATATATAGAGAGAGAGAGAGCGAGATAGATATACATATATGAACAAGTTGTTTCATATTGAATGGGACATAAAAAGTATCATAGTATAAATTCTGTAATTGTTTTATTAAGCTGAAACAAATTAATTCTGAAAGTGCAGTTATACAAGTTTTATTTGGAAACAGGTAAAAGTCTTCCAGTTATGAAATTGCTGCTAAAGGCACTGTTAATCAAAATGATGGTATCCATGCAAAAGAAAGTATACTGTGTTTTGGAATATGCCAAAACGTCGTCATTTATCATTGTTCAAAGGTACTTTTGCATAAAATTCGGTAAATAACATCATCACAACATTGAACGGTGGATAAAGCAGTTTTAGGACATTGTGTAAGAAAACCGGCACAGGACAAACAGCCAAAACTGAAAGGGTTGAAAAAATTCATGAAACATTTTTACAAAGTCCCACGAAATTAACGTGTCGTGCGAGTTTTAAACTCAGTGTGCCTCATGTAATAGTGCGGCATGTATTGCAGAAATGTCGATAATTCCGGCCATACACATTTCAGATAAGGTAGGCTTTAAACCTTCCGAGAAAACACTGTATATAGCTTTCTGTGAGAATTTGCAAGATAAGTTGGAGGTAGATGCTTTCATGAACAGGCTTATATTTATGTAGGAAGCCATTTTTCATGTTTCTGGCAAAGTTAATCACCATAATATATGATTTTGGGGCAAGGAAAATCCACATGGTATTCATGGAGCATGATTGTGATTCTCCAAAGGTGAGTGTCTTTTGTACCATTTCCAGCAGTTGTATTTTTAGTCCTTTTTTCTTCGTGGAAAAATTGATTAACGGCTGCATCTACCAAGCTATGCTTTTAGAATAGTTGTTCCAGCAGAAGGCAGGCACATTCAAATTGGAATTTGGCAACCACCAATTTGGCAAGCCAAACCACCATTCTAATAGCATAGCGAATTTGACAGCCACATTCAAATTGGAATAAAATTGGCAATCACATTGGCATAAAAACATATGTCAGTACCTGAATGATAGACAACCCCCATCTCTGGATTCGTTGTTATTGGGTCAAATGATATGCCATTACTTTGTTGGCTACTGATATTCCTATACCTTTGTGATTTTTCCCTATGAGGTTTTCCCCAGGACGTACAGCAACTGAAGCAATGGATAATTTAAGTGCTTGAATCATTAAGAATCATCTTTCATCAATATGGCAGGAACTGGAATACTGCATAGGTATTTTCCGTGTCACCGGAGGGACACGCATAGAACTTCTGTAGAAACTTGGATAAGCATAGTTTCACCATAAATTTGATTTATCTAAATAAAGTAATTACAGTGCTTACAGGTCTGCTTTGTTTTTGTCATGTTCAACATGAAACACCCTGTGATGCTTCTACTAAAATTAATATTAGGAGATAATATAATCAATATTTCTTTAAAGGGAAATACCCAAATTAAAATATAGACATAAAGAACTACTGTATATATACTTCAAAACATCTTTCAAAATATAACTTACCAGTATGGATTCACTCTTTTAAAATAGTTCTACCTTAATTAAACTTGAGAGATAATATAATCAATTTAATCATTTGTTTAGGAATAAATTATTATATATATATTATAAGATCAAAAATGTGAAAACTAAAATTCTAACTTTAATTTATAGTAGTTCCTTAACTCTATATTTTAATTTGGGTATTTCCCTTTTCTATCCTAAAAACAGTAACTGCTTATGAAAACAGTACCACTGTTGATTGATTTTGAAGTAATACAATAAACTGTATTACTTCAAAATCAATTGTCATATCATTCTTATATGAAATAAACTAAGTATAACCTAATAAGTAAACTAAGCATTGTCTTGGAACAATTTGTTACACCTTACTTCAAAAGAGATTAATGTCATTATGCCAAGCCTTAAAATGGATTAATCTCATCATACCAAATATAGCAGACTTTTATTGAAGGACTTTCTGATAATAGTATTCCTAAAGTATTAAATGTATATTTCAACTGTAAAATTTTGCATCAGACTTTGTTGGGCTTCACATCATGGTAATGTGTTATAACACACTGGCAAAAAATGCTCTGTGATAAATTATGGATCTTCTGTATGTTCCTAAATCTAATTTGAGAATAAAATTTCCTCTTCTATTTTATCTATTCCTATTAAGTTTTCTATTCAGATCCTTGCAGAAATATGGATAAATAAATTTAGATAAATGAAGTCATATATTTTATCAAAGACCCATTTAGTTTCTCTGTTGGTACCATTAATAATACTTTGTTATGGCAGAATCGTGCTGCTCTCTTTGCATGCCAAATGGAGAAACTTGTATCTATCCGCATAATTCTGCTATGTGTACTTATTTTCCCTCTTTTATTAAAAAATTTGAACTCGCCTCATATGTATAAGTATTCTAGTCTGTAGTTGTATTTTCATAAATATTCAGCTGCCTCTACACTGTGTGATAGAAATGCTCTATCTGCAATAAATGTAACTTTGTTGTAGCAAATGATATTCTTGAAACATGTGATCAATTTCTGATGTGGATGCTGGTGAGGAAGAATACTGTTGCATACAGTCTTACCTATCATAGAATATAAAAATTACTCACTCATTTTCCCATTTATGAGTTGGGAAAGTGACATAGGCATGA